ATGCTCACTGCATTTTGCACACGTTGGCCGTCCTCGGCAACTCAAAGATCCGTGACCATATCTCTGCACCGGAAACATCATCTGGGATTAGGTATGTAAGCTCTGACACAAACTTTCATATACCCTGTTCCAATATGTTCTGGCAGCCTGCTCGAGTCGAATGTGAGGATAAGGTGCTTGGTTGGCATTTATTTGTTATCCCTGCTTATCTTAAAGAAAGATAACTTATCCCTGCTTATCTTAGGGAAAGATAAGACACCTCTCGCTGGCTTGTTTGTTTGCTCGCTGTGGATTACATGATACCGGGGGAAATTGTCTTTGTACGGTGCGAAAAAAGCTCGATGTCACTTCGGTGCACACTCTTTTTGAGAGAGCGATCAGAAAGTAGAGGGAAGGGAGTACCCAGGAAAATTTTATGATTCAGCAGCTATGGTAGGCACTCACCATCGAGCCCAACAAGGGGACTCTACAATGCTTGGGTAACACATGTAGACGCCAGCTATACATAGCTGCTATAACCCAATATAATATATCCAAGGCTTGATGTAGAACACAAGGTTAACCCAGGCCATTTAAGAAAACTGGGAAGCAACTGAAAGGATTAGAAGACAGGACAGTAAGGAAAGAAGATGGAAAGAAAAAGGTATGAGAGGGTGGATAGGAAAAGGCGACCTCTGATTGCCCCTGGGCGGGTAAGCCCAGGGGTGCCGTCTGAGTGAAGCCAGAGCCGAAGGGGTGTGTTGCCTCTGCCAGGGAGCCTTAAAGGTCCAATCACCCGACGTCGGCTCAATCCCCCAGGATCCCCTTTTTTCCAGACACGGCTCAGCTACGCACGACAAGGCATGGGAGGGAGTCGAAACCCCTCCATCAGCTCGGGTCTGTGGTGTCGCTAGACACCAAACACCTGCTTGCACAGACGCCCCTGCGGGGGTGGTTAGGGTGACTGTGCACGATTAGCATGCCTTCAAAGATGAAATTCCATTTGCATGATTGCAAATGCGAGGTGAGATGAGATGGCTCCATTCAGTTAATTTTGATGATATCTAAGGAACGTGTTGATACATCAACCAGTCTGACTGATGTTCATATGTGAACACATGAGGAAGTCGGTTAGCAACTCTTAGACAACAATAGAAAGAACAGTTGACATGCCTCTCATAGTACTTTTCTCTACCCACTGCAGACCCCTGTGACCTTTTGCGCTCTACGGAAGGAATGTTACTAAACTTATGGGGCGTTTCCTTGCCTCGTATCGCTTTCAACTTTTATTCAGACTGTGCAGAACGTATGCATGAAATAATTGCAATATTCAGTTTCTTTGAGGGTGAAGGTTGTCTGAATTAATCTGTTTGCAGAGCGAATGAGCTGCTCACGAACGGATGCAATATGATATAGGAAGGACACCGCGCCTTCTTGCAGCAAAAAAAAAATATTGCTTATGTAATGTTCCCAAGTTTTTTTATTCTTCACCAAGCGTAAGTACATCATTATTCTTCAATGGACAATATTTGAATGCGCAGACTAAAATTCAATAGTAGTTTCACTCAATGACGGATACACTGCCAGCAAACATGCTCCGCAGTGACACTTAATCATCCAATAAGAAACCGCAGATTATCAGAGCAAGGTATCTTGCACATAAATGTTTGTTCCATCCCGTCGTCTTTAAACACAATTAGAACATCTTTACCGTTTTTGAGTGAGTGACATTCACAAAAATGAAAAAACTCTAGCTTAACACTTCTCTGCAGTTTGTTTTTAATGGCCCAAACTAACCACGATGGTATTTAATGCCATAGCACTTTATGAGCGGTTCATCGTAAAATAACTATGAATTCAGTGTTCCAGTTCACATTCCCTTCAATAGCATGTTTTGATCACACGTATCAGTGCGCAACAAATCGCATGCCGCTAATCTGCTACGTTCGATGTACACCCGCCCAGTGATACCTACACTGACTGCGTTATTCATTTCACATTTCATCCATAGATATACATGCAGGTGCATTCGGACCTATCTATTCAACAAGCGGCAGCATGTTCTTTTCGTTTTGTGCTCGCATGGTGCCAACGAGCAGTGGGCGACGGAAGAGCGGGTTCACTCGGCGTACGCACTTTTCCCAAAGTGTCTGGTGCCCACGCGAGGCCTTGTGGAATTGCTTAAAGAAGGTCTACTAATACAAGGCCTATGCACTTGTCTCTTTTTTTCATCTTTTTTAATGTAGGAACAACTTTGAATAGTAGAGAATTTGACTTTTGGTAAAATGCAAGTGATAGCTTGTAAAATATGTTACTTCTTAAAACTTTCTCTACTCAGAGCATATAATTCATTATTACAAGTTTTCAAACATAAATTATGAACTGATGTGAGCGTAACATTCTTATTGAAGCTTGAAGCAGGGCTTGGCAGGAAGGCGAATTTTCTCTGAAGACATGCTTTTACGGCTTAGCACTATTTCACTACAGTGAAACCACAATTGCAGGAAGTTATGCGAATTAAAGTGCACTTGACTAGGTGGTTTCACGGCTTGGCTCAACTCAGCTGCAGTGAAGCCGCTTTTACAAAGTGTCACATGTGGAATAATATGCACCTACTCGTTCTCTGAATAATTTGAAATTTTAGAAGTTAAATTTGATTATAATCATATTTAAAATTTGCTATATTTGTTTGAAAATTTGCAGCATTCAATTATTTGCACAAGTCTATAGCAAACCATTTTATAGCAGCTGTGTTTCAACATATGTTCTCGCAATTCATCCCTGTGGCTAAGAGAGGAACCCACTATTTCGAGCTTAACAGTGCACCAAGTTAGCCACAAAATACCATGACAGGTTCTGTTAAATACAAGGATGAATGCCTACGACGGTTTCTTGAAGGACAAATGCCATGATGTGCTAATCATTGATGTCCATACATAATATAAGTGTAGTCGAACCAAACGAACAACTGACAAAAGCATGCAAGACGGAAAAAGTGTTGCCTCTTTTCAAGGTCAGATATACGTCTGACGTATGGTGGGAGTGATGCGTGTGAAGGTCCAGTACTATAAGTCTTAGCACAACAATACTTGCCTGCTGTTTCAGAATTTTTGAAATTGTATGGCAAACCATCTGTTCACCAAAAGGAGTCGGTTAAAGTTAAAAGCAATGCTCAGAGTGAAACAGGATACATGGGCTTGGCCGCAGTCCTGGGAGCAGGGAAAAGTGCTTTGTGTAGTAAGGTTGGAGCACCCAGAAATACTTTTTGGAGCAAGCTTGGAGCAGCCAGAAAAAGGCCCCTTTGAGCGAATTCGAAGAAGTCAGAGATTGAGACATAACATTCAGAGCATAGCCCGTTACAAATCACTTTAAAGCGACATTTGTGTAAAGATGCATTGTCCACGAAATTGTGCAATCACCATATTATCGCGATAGCAGTCACTCCTAATGGGTTTTCGAAGTAGCCGTCATGTGCCATATAAAGTCCATATTGATAGCATACCCCAACGCGTCATATGTTCTATCCGCGGGAGAAAATGCTCGAGCGGGACTGACAAATATGGCTGTAGCAGAGATTGAACAAGCCGGCCCTTCTCTCACTCGGAGGTCGCGTGCAATAACATCACCCTGCTCGAGAGGCGTACCATCCAAGCGGAGAGGAAACGCACCACTCGCTTTAACGAGATGCAGATGTGAACAATATGGGGGGAGGGGAGGTGTGAAGAGAGGGTTGTTGCTCGAGCAGCAACTGTGAATTTTGCTTCTAATGGTGTGGTCGTGATCGCTGGTGTGCGTGCTAGCTCGGAAGCCATAAGAGTATGGCACGCATACACTTCTACACGCATACGTATACACTTCTACACCCCTGTAAAAAACTTCTCTTTTGTTTTTATATCTTTTGTTATTCCTTATTTTGTGGATTTTAATTCATTTTATGTGCGGGAAGTGACTGACTTGGGTTCATAGCGCTTGCCTCCGCTCCTTGCCCCTCGCTCAGCAATATTAAAAGTTGGATCGCGCTATGTTGGCGTGTTAGCTACGGAAAAGATAAAAATGGCAAGTTCTGGCGGACAGGCAACGGAAGCTGCAGTGAGCTAGGCCTGCCAAGTCAATTATGCATTTGTCTAAGATGGCTTAATCGGGCAACACGTGTTTTCCGTGTCTCTACGATGTGCTAACCCAGGATACTCTAGTTCTGTGAATGTTTTTCAGCGTTTCCTAAAGGCAAGGGTGAGCACACGAATTGGGACTCATTATTTAAGTAGGTATTGATTGTGCATGAGTACATGTGAGTAAACCCCGTTCTTTGCAAGCCTGGCTGGACTGACGGAAGTGCAGTGTCGATTGACTAATTAGTCAAGACTACAGCGGAGCTTCTGACAGGCAATTGCGTTTATTGAAAGGCTTGAATTTGAGTTGGCGCGGCTACATAGCTTTAGTTTCTTTTACTTTTGGAGTGTAGTTCAAAATATGACATGTAATTATAGGCTGCTTCCTGCTCATAAAATTCTTGTGGTCACAGCTTCAAAATTTGTGAGTCTTTACTTCTAACATTGTCACTCAAATACACGTGATAGGCAAAATGCTTCTAAACATTTTTACAGAGAATGTCAATGCATGCAATGTTTTGAAATATGAACTTTTCTTCATCAAGACAACGCTGTTGCCCTGACGAAGACAAGTCAACTTGCTGAAACACTGTTTCCAGTGGCGTTATTTCTCAAAAAAAAGGAATGACAACAGCGGTGCTCATAAAAAGTGGGCATGGGGTCCAGTTCCCGGAAAAGCCTAGCAGACGACAGCTGCTCAGAACTGCTCAAAGCGCGCATGCGCATATTCACTTTCATTTACGCCGCGCTCCACTTTGTGGCGCTGATCAGCTCGGCGATCGACGCTCGCGCGTTCAGATTAAAAAACGCGTGGGTGTACATGTTACTAAGTCACAAAAGCATTACCATCTTAGTATGTTTACCATTTCATTATTTTTCATTTTGCAATGAAACATGGTCAGCATCGCTTACCTTTTTGCACATGCGGGGCTGTTGCAAGTCTGCAAAACAAGAATGTAATTAGGTTTGAGAAACATGCCAGGGCGAGTTCCTGTGGAAGATGTTCAGAAGACACAAAAAGACGTTTGCCCATCATAATGCTAGCATGAGAAACAAGTTTCCTCTCTGACTTATTTTTTAGAAGCATTTGTTCACACAAACACCTCGAGGCTGTTACGGCCTATTCAGTGTGTGGTGTTATGCACTGTTATAACAAATATTATGCAAGCCATAAAGCGGCAGCTGCCTTGCCAGTTGTGACGAGAATAGATCGCAGCGTGCAAGCAGGACTATTTTCAATTCCATGCACCCAGTGGGTTCACACGATCTCCTGAAAAGCCTTTACGACACACGTTATGACAGACTAACGGATTTGATTGAAGTACTGATCTCTGTGACACTTCCAGAAAATCTGCTATGTAAATTGACCTACGTTTATTTGATCTAAAGGAAGCTTTGAAGGGGTGAGACATGGTCACCCAACAATATGTGGTTTTCAACAAAAACGAAGTATAGGATCTGATATGCCTATACAGCTGACTCTCATTAATACGAAGTTCATGGGGACTGGCAAAAAATTCAAATTAACCACAACAAATCAAAAATACATTTATTTCAAAGCAGTTTGTGCAAAAATCGGTGATTGAAGTTTGCCTTTGCCTGCTAAATCTTGCAGCAGAAAGAACTCTTGCAGTCTGTATATGTGCCTAAAAGCTTCCTCTGCGATGCTGTCAGCAGCAAAAAACCGCTGCGCGAGGTCAAGGCCCGCAGTTTCATCAGCAGCTCGCGGTTGTGGCTCACTTTCAACTTCGTTGTCGTCTACCTCAATTTCATGACTATCCTCGCTAGGCCGAACCATCTTGATGATCTCAGCGTCCGTCAACGCACTGCACGTTTCTACAGCACTATCAGTAGCAACGTATTCTTCGAAAGAGACGTCACCATGAGCTGGCAGGAGACTGTCAACTTCAATCTCACTTGTGTCTGCTTCCCCTGCGATATAAAACGAATTATCTGCAGCACTTGCAATGAAACCGCACGCCCTAATGCAGTTCGCCATGGTCTCTTCCTTACGCGACCCAACGCTCACACCAGCGTATGTATAGCACTGCGAAGGCTCACCTCATATTGAGTTGAATTGTCCATACACAACACCGTCCGCTCAAGAAGATGTTTCCGATAAAGTACTTTCACGTTCATTATAATCCCCTGGTCCATAGGTTGTAACACTGATGTAGTGTTCGCTGGCAAGTAAGCGAGATGGATGGCACTCAAGGGTGGCACAATATGTGTGCACTACACTGGTCCACAAGCAGCAACACTTTGCGTTTTGCTAACATGAACTTGCGATCCAATTTCATTAGCCAATCGTTGAATATGTCTGCGGTCATCCACACTTTCCTGTTAGACGCCTAGTCTACAGGCAACATTTTCACACCCTTAAAACATCTAGGCTTAACGGCTTTCCTGATTACGAGCAGGCGACATCGCTCAGAGCCTGTCATGTTGGCCACCATCAGCACTGACACTTTACTCCGCTTACCTCCTGCGCAGTCATCGTCTTTGAAGGTCAGCGTCTTCTCTGGCAACATTCTGTAAAAAAAGTGCCGTCTCATCGGCATTGAAGATATCTTACCACTGATATTCGTCCAAGTAGCTGTGAAGCTTACTTTCTCTCTACATTGCAAATGTGGCCGCGTTGACGGCAGCCCTATCTCCATTCACGCTTTTAAACACTATATCATGTTGTTGCTTAAAGCGTGTAATCCATCAATCGGGCGAAGCGAAGTTCTCGATGCCTAGCATGGTCGCAAGCCATGAGGCTTTCGCTGCATTGATCTCACCCTTGAGCAGAAGTTGGTTGCTTCGTGCCTCCCGAATCCAGACGAGCAACGCTTGCTCCAACTATGGGTGGGCACCAGTGCGCATCCTCTCGCAAGACAACTTGAACTGGTCATTTTCACTTTCAAACGTGTCCAGCAACGAGCCCTTGCTCTTGAGGATGTTTGACAGGGTGTTATGCTTGATGCCGTATTTCCAGGCAATATCTTGCTTGGGGGTGCCTGCTACTTCCACTTGTTTCAAAATTTTGACTTTCGTCGCTAAGTCTAGCAATCGATAGGGCCCGCGAGTTGCCATAGTCATGACTGCACCTGAAATACATGTAGACTTCCGTTGCATGTGGAAACGCTGTCCGCTTAATGAGATAAACAGTTAGGCTCAGCGCTTGTCACTGCACAGGCCGCTCGCAGAATTGCCTCACCGCTTCATGGTCTGAGGCGCTCTAAGCAGCTGCGATGTAAAGCCCCATACTTCGTACCGCCATCTACTCTTCTCCTTGCTGCCTCCTCTCCGGTGCATTGCTTTTTTTTTCCTTTCGATTGCGACAATGATGCCCCCTGTTACGCGCCAGGAGCTTGCAGTTTGTTTTCGAGCCGGTGGTGTGCCCCCGCTGCTGCATTAGTTAGAGCCGCCCCTGTACAGCTGTGGCCGTGCCTCGCATATGGCTTTATGTAATGATTCTTCTGCATTGATTTTCTCAGCAAGACTGGATGCGCTCACCATCAATATTACGGCAGAAGAGCTGCTGCAAGTCATGCACAAGCTGTAGCGAATCGCACGTCGTTTAAACTTCTTTTTCAGGGTAGTGTTTCCTTGCGTATCTGGCGCTGATATACGCAACCGTTTGGAAATAAACAGTTCCCGTACGTACGGCGCTGACATACGTAACCGTTTGGAAATAAATAGTTCCCGTACGTACAAACTATCTCGATATTTTATAACTGCAGCAATGTCAACAAAGTCCATGAAAGTGCTTGCTCAAAACTTCGTGACGTTTCACATGCTACCTCTTCTTTGCCTGTCCAATAATTTGTGCTTCCAGTACGCCGTTTTAAAATGTTTGTCCTCTTCGGTACAGTTTGTTACCATTTTCTTTAGGTTTCACATGTTTTCATGGGAGTTGCAGATAATGTGGGTGATAAAGCTCATGCTTGCTCAAGGTAACTCATTTCTAATTGCTGGCGACCAAGACGGTGCTCTGGTGTAGAATTCGAAAAACGCAGTCGCGTCAACACTGTCGAAATTACTTTGTGCCCATATCGATGTATTTTGTGAACTCAATGCACAGCATCACCTCAAAGCAATGAAAACTTTGGCACATCATCATATGTATTGTGACAATTTCATAAGGAGTGCACGAGACGTTGTTGCAGACAGGGGCTGTGCTTGAGAACAGCCGCGATAATCATGAAATTCGAAACATTAACTACTTTTGAGAGAAAGGCTTTCACGTGAAAAACAGGTATGCAGGCAACTGCTGAATGCATATTTCTGCTATTTCACGACAACACGCCCCATCATGCATTGCTGCAGTTCACATCTATGAATGATATGACGTTCCTCAATCGTTCAATGCATTGTTTATAAATAATCTGTTTTCTGTCTATAATAATAAACAAATAAAGATAGAACTAGTCTTATCAAACCAAAAACATCCCCCTACTCTTTGTATACAAGTGTCACGCTTAAAACGCGCATGTTCAGTGGCGGGCGCTTGACCGAAAATTGCACTCAACAAGTATATTTTTTGAAATGTTTTTTTTTTTCATTTCCATATTTTAATGAAATGGGAGATATGTTGCGAAAGTACTAAGCAAATATCGTAAGACATTTACAGATTTTTACAGAGCAACCCGGCATCGTAAAAAACGACTAGTGAGATGCACGCGTGCACTTCGCACGTCCTCAACTTTGCATGCGCGAACAAGCAACACAGTGGCGCTTTGGCGCATCCAACATAATGCCGAGCGGCAAAAACCGGTTTTTCGCCACATCCACCCGAAGAGACAAGAAGCTCTGGCGGGTAGAGAAGAAAGCGGCGCAGATCAAAAGAATGCTGTACTTTTCCGTAGGTATAGGGGATTTACTGCGATGCCAACGGCGCCGGTAAGATACAGGAAGTGTTGAACTGTGGTGCTGTGGTCTGCTGGAAAGCCGTCGAGTGCCGGCTACATTGAAATCGTTATTTTGCACCTTAAAATTAGCAAATTTATCAAATATTTTACAATTTTCTCCGGAAATTTGATTAAAAATTTGAATTAACTGAATTTTCAGACTTCTAGCTTCCAATTAATGAACATTTCTTTCTATTGAATTGCATGCAAAATTGACGGGACCTCCATTCCACTTCCAATGAAGCGACAATTCCAATTAAGTGATTTTAAGTTATTGGGAGCCAACTGTATAGATATGAAAAGTGGGCTGTAAAAGAAAAAATATTTCCGTTTGGACAAACCGCAAAGCCACTAAAAATATAAAGGAACGACAACTTCGTCCCTTTGCCTCTGCCTTTTCTCCTAGGAGCTGCTGCAGCAGTGCCTCTAGCGTGTCCAGCAGGAAACAACAGATGTTTTTACGCTGTAGTAAAAACAACTTTCCGCAGTTGTGCTCGAGTTTGCCATCATTGGCACAGTAAGTTGGCACACCGAAAAATCCAGAACTACCGTATGGGCAGACTGAGATGTGGTTGACCACGTACCAAGCACTAATGAAGGTGCGAACGAACAAGATGGCACTCGCATGATGCCCTAAGAAACCAGTGTGCCACTTTAAAAGGTTAGCGATTTCTTAGCGCCGCTGAGTTTGTAGGGATGCTGCCATCACAAGTGAGTAGACTTGTGCAAATGGTGAATTTTAGGTTAAAAGGAAATTACAAGCGAACAGTGATTGTGGTTGAATAATTTCTAATCTCATTCGAATAGTATATATGGCATACAAAGAAAATAGGCATATTTATTGTGACCCAACTGACCTGCACAATATTTTTTTTAAACTGAAATAGGGCCTCTATGCAAATGCATCTTTTTTTTTCACTCAAAGGAAGGGGAAAGAACTCAACAATAGTATGATTTGACTTTCTGTAGGGTTTAAATTGTAACACTTTAAAATTTCTCATACTTAAGCATAAAAGCTATCATAACGAGCCCGTAAGCTTCCTAATATGATGAATTGATTTGAAGGTAACATGTGGCACATGCAATAACATCATAGAAGGCCAACAGCACATACTATCAAGACATACAATTTTTCCCTCTAACAGCCCAGAGCTCATGAACTGGGATTCACTTGGGAACAAAGATAGCGAAGGCGCACTTACACAGTGGTCCTTATTTTTTTCTCTATGTTTGATGCCTGGGTGAATGTGTGAGTGTCTCGTGTGCGCTCGAATTAAGTTTTTGGAGTTGCAAAAATTTGTTCTACGCTGCAGTTGCTACAAGTGACAGCATCTCGCAGTTGCCCCAGTAACGACCGAGCGTGCCATGCCCAAATAGGCCAGTGGCAGGTACAGTGGCTGTTATGAGTGATATTTGATCTTGTAGCATCATTTGTCGAGAAAAGAGCAATTTGTAGCTAATTTTGAGAAGAATTTATTGTGAATCGTAAGATGCGTGCTTAGCTATTATTATTGGCTTGCGTGTTCTCGGTAGTTACTCGGTAGCCTCGACTTGCGATCAGCAGCATTTTCTGTTCATGCTCATTAAGTGTTGCAGGGCCCCTTTAAATTTGAGGGGGGGGGGGGGGGCTTCGTGGCAAAGTGTATTTTTTTTGAATAAGTGAATTCACGGCTTAGCATTCTTACACTGCAATGAAACTATCTTTACAGGCAGTTACATGAGGACTAATATACACCTATTCTTTCATTGCGAATACTTCGAATTTTCAATATTTGAAATTTGAATCAAAGTGAATTCGAATACTTTATTGTTCTTTCAAATATTTGAAGCGTTCCAATATTTTCACAAGCCTTGAAGTGAGCACTTTCGCACACTAAGAAATTGCAAACCATACATTTTCATGCTGTCAGACACCATTAAAACACGCCTCTTGCATCCCTACACATTACATTGCCATATATCGCTATAATACATATTCGTCATTTCCCAAACTTTTTGTATTGTGTCAAATATAACCGCAGCGCCCTCGGGTGCTCTAGCAGAAAAATTGCGCAAGCCCTTTTTCGTCCAATAGCCATGTTCCTCAAGCTTTGCAGCTCAACTAACTTCATTTGCATCCTACAACGCATAGGGGAGAGAAGGTGCCTGGTGCATTGACACGAATGACGCAAACTTAGTAACTTTTAGGAACTTTAACTCACTGCTGGCGACAGACATTTTGCCATAGCACATGTGACGTGATTTTGTTGAAAGAAGTGGAGCAGTCATCTTTCCCCGAAGCTCCAGCCGCTACAAACAGTAATACTTCAGTGCCAATCTGAAGAAACCTTGAATACTTCAAGTACATGCGCATCAGAAAATTGAACACTCGACTGAATGCAGGCCCTTGCACTGCTTCTTACATCACTGCCCTAGAGTGCACCAGCGCTGCCCAAATCTCAAGCCACTAGCGTGTTCATAAAGACACTCAATTATAAATTAAGTGCTTGAATAAATGCACCAAAATTTCATGATCTCATTTAGGAATGCTCAAGGATACCATGTAACACAGAATATGATAGAAAATTGGGTGTCCTGGCACCTTTTACAACTTCATGCAGTTTTGTGAAACTATAAGAGAGAGCCAAAACATTTTA